ACATCACTCACCATTTATTCAATCATTATCTAGTTGGATTCATTCTTTTTTTGTTTTTTTTTTTTTTTTTTTTTTTTTTTTTTTTTTTCTATTTTTATTTATTAGTTTTTTTTTATTTTTAACCTTTTTGTGCAATCCCAGGAGGGTTTCCAGAGTATGTGTTTTGATATGATAATGATGCTCTCAAACATGTTCATTAACATTTTACTAGGTACCCTGTCCTGCAGGAGGTTCTCAAGAGATATAGTTGGACCACGATCAAGGACCCCATATTCACACCCAAGTACGAACCTCATCTACCATCATGGAAGAACATTCCAACGTCAGTGAATCCAATTGACTACTTCAAGTGCATGGTTAATCAAAAGTTGGTAGATAGGATGCTTTATGACTCGAACAAACTCGATCAATTTCAGAATGCAGCCAAGCTACAATCAAAGGAAGTCTACACATACATTGGGTTGATACTAGTCAGCGTTGTTATGGGAATCTCCAACCACCCGGACCTCTTCTCCCATGGAGAGTACTCGTATACATATCCTGGGAAGGGTGAGGCCATGGGCAAGGACCGGTTCAGCGTCATCCACCCTCACTTGACAATCAACCTGGAGAAGATGAGAAGCATCCTCGAGACCAACTTCCTACATCACCTGTCGCCAGGCACTTTTCTTACCATTGATGAGTCAAGGATCAAAGCAAAACCAACAATGCATGCTGGCCTCAGTTACAACAAGGAGAAGCCAGAGAAGTGGGCGTTTGAAATCAACACTATTGGTGACACAGATACACGTTATTTGCTTGGGATGATGCCATCAAAGGAGGCGACAGGAGAGATAGCTTTGGCCCAATTGATTGAGAAGATGCCACTCGATAAAGACAAACACTACCACCTCACTGCTGACAGCAAGTTCTCAAACTTTGCTCAACTCAAGAGACTCAAACTTATTGGCATCGAAGCAACTCTCTGTATTAAAAAGGGCAGACTGCCCTCAGAGGTCTACAAGGTTGGAATAGCTAATTGTTTGCCTCCAGGTCTCTCCAGGTTTGCTACACAGGAAGGCATAATTGCTGCAGCTTACCACAACAAGAAAATAATCCAGCTCGCGACAACCTTCTTCGATGTCCAGGAATCTCCAGAGAGAAGGTTACAATCTGAACGACAGGATATACTAGATTTGTATGACGACACCAAGAGAGGTCTTGATCAGTTCAACCAACTTGCAACTTACTTCTGGCATGACCATCCCCATTCCTCACAACAACAGAGTCAACAACTTGGATACATTTCCTATGCCCTTACCAACTCCTATATTATGTATACAAGGAATGTCAAAGATCCAATGTCTCATCGTAACTATGTCAAGTCGATCGCAAAGAGTCTGCTTGTCAAGAATGAATGACATTCTTCTGAATGACGTGCATATGTCACACCCATTGGGAATGAGTGGGTGTGAGTAATAACTTAGGTTTCATTTTCTCAATTGACACTAATCATTGTTGTAAGATTGATAAATTACTATAACTTCAATCTTATGATCTGATAAACACATCCAAGATAATATTAGAAGGTGTAGGTGGTATTTGAAGTTGTTTGAATACTCCTTATATAATTTAATTATACTGGAACCCAATAATAAATATCTCTATCAAACTTCATTCTAGATTGATTACAATAGTCTTTAACTTCTTTTAATCTCTGATTTATTGATAAATATTACAATTTATTTAGACAATATTGTCACTGGTTAAGATATTATTTGAATTAATTCACTACTTTACATTATTTCACATATTCACACAGTGATACAATATCCTAAGGTAGATATCAATACGAATCAATAATAGAGAGCAAAGGATAGAACATTTCTCAATCACTCCATTCTTCTCTATCTCTTTAAAATCGATCACTTTAATGTAGTTGATCCAACGGTACCCTTGCAAAATATACTCCACCACCCAGGCACGAGGGGTCGATTCCATTTAAGGGGGGGTCAACAACAACAGTGTGGGTGTGTGGGGTGATGGATGATGACATGAAAGGACTTGTTGTTCACCAAAGTCATTCATTCTCAAACAAACCTGTGTAAGTAATAACAATACACATAATACAATGAATCAAAGAATGATCGAACTTGTTAAAACTAACAAACAAACAAACAATCAAACAAACAAACAAAATACGTGTAGATATAAAGATAAACTTTAACGTTTAACTCAACCAACAACAAACAAATATTATAATGTCACGCAAGGCTGTCGCTGTTTTGAAGGGTGCTGGTGAGACCACCGGTGTCGTCACCTTTACCCAGGAGAACCAGGAGGCTCCAGTTCTCGTCCAGTACAACATCACCAACTTGCCCAAAGGTAATCAATCAATCTGAAGTAGAGAGGTGAAGAAGGAATGAGAGAAGAGGAAGAGGCATCAATCAAGTTGAGAAAGTGTGCGTCAGTTGAACGATAATCAAATCAGGTTTACAACAATTACCAAGATGAACTTACACCTCCTTTCCTCCTCTACCCTCCCCCCTACTTCCCCCACACTCTCCTCCCTACAACCAATACCTTACCTCCTCTTTCCTCTTCGTATAATAGGCGACCACGGATTCCACGTACATCAGTTTGGTGACACCACCAACGGTTGTGTCTCTGCTGGTCCTCACTACAACCCATTCGGCAAGGCCCACGGTGCCCCAACTGCTGATGTAAGTGTTCTACAATGAGTGGACCTGAGTGATGATCACTCATGCTAACATCACCCACCCCCAACTATTTAGATCCGTCACGCTGGTGACTTGGGTAACATCGTGTCTGGAGATGACAACGTTGCCAACAGCACCCTCACCGACAAGATCATCACCCTCTTTGGTGAAAACTCCATCGTTGGCAGAACCATGATCGTCCACGCTGACAAGGATGACTTTGGTCTTGGTGGCTTTGAGGACTCTTTGACCACCGGTCACGCTGGTGCTCGTTTGGCCTGCGGTGTCATCGGACTTGCTCAATAAATCAGATGAGCTAATGATCAGAGAGTGAGCAAGAGACAGGACAAACTTGTACAGTCTCTATCTCTCTCTCTCTATTGCCCTTTATTCAACAAATATTCATCGAGTGGGTGATGTCTACAACAGTGACCAATGGTTTTCTTGTCAAATATACTACGTAGAAGCTGGCAATGGGCTCACTTTGGAAGATTGATTGTAGATCAGGCGATGAACTAAGAAGCATCCATCGATGCTGTCTAATATTGCAGAGAGTCCAAGTCATTAAAATCAATTGGCGGGGATATAGGTCTACCCAACGACAATATGTTTGAAACCATATTCATGATTAGCTCTGGTGTTCCTCTTTCTGGATCACCCTCAATCACTCTTGATTGGATACCATTCATATTCCATTGAGCATATAATAAGAATGTATATCCCGATCCATCATCGAAAGGACCTGGTCCCTATTCATCACATTTCTCTTCCAAAATATCTTTTGTTATCTCATCGTTGTAGGCATTCTTGAAGGCTTTCATTTAATTGACTTTTTTTGTTATTATTATACATTTTGGAATAAAATAATAATATAAAATGAAATTGGTCTCTTAATTACTAAGGTGTCTTCTTAAATAAGTGGACATCTACAAGATGATTGATTACCTTTTTAGGAAAGTGATTGTGTTTGCCAAGGTGGTGTCATACTCATCAACTTCACCCCATCTTCAATTTCAATTCAATTTACAACTTCAACACACAAACACATGGTCATTCTCTTCATCATTCATTCATTAATCCTATTCATTAATTCAATCCAACAACAAATAATTATATATATAAATAATGTCTCACATTGATAGGATATCAGTGTTGAGTAATCACCTGTTGTCATCAGACCAGGATGAAGATGATGATAATAATGTTGTACATCATAACAATGTAAATGCTCCTATTGTTGCAGATGCTGTTGCAAAGTATGTATAGAGTATAGAGAGGACAGACTTGGAGACAGACTGGACAACATGACAAACATACTTACATTTCCATATCCTTTAAAGGAATACCAATACAAATGCTACATTGACCATTACAGATAATAGAACTGGAAAGAAGTATAATGTACCAATCAAAGACAACTGCTGTGTCAATGCTTTGGAGTTTAAGAAGATATCAGAGGTGTCAGGTGACAATGGTTTAATGTAATATCCACCATACAAGCACGTGTACCACTCAAACAAATAACTAATCAATCACTTCTCTTAGGTTGTATGATCCAGCATTCCAAAACACTGCTGTTGTTACATCATGTATTACTTATATTGATGGAGACAAGGGAATACTTAGGTATAGAGGATATCCCATTGAGGAGTTGGCGGAGAGGTCCAACTTCCTGGAGGTGGCCTTTTTGCTGCTCAATGGAAGTCTGCCAAACAAGTCACAGTTGGACAGCTGGTCACACAAGGTCATGACGCACACCTTCCTCCACGAGAACTTGGTGGGCATGATGAAGACCTTCCGGTATGACGCTCATCCGATGGGCATGCTCATCAGCACCGTGGCCGCACTGGGCACTTTCTATCCGGAAGCCAACCCGGCGTTGGCCGGCCAGGACATCTTCAAGTCCGAGACTGTGAGGAACAAGCAAATACTTAGGATCATTGGCAAGCTCCCCACTATTGCTGCATGCGCTTGGAGACATCGTATCGGTCGTCCTTATAACACGCCAGTCAATCATCTTGGCTACACTGAGAACTTCCTCTACATGCTGGACAAGTTGTCCGAGCAGGACTACAAGCCCAACCCAGTCCTATGTCGCGCGCTTGAGATCCTGTTCATCCTGCATGCCGACCATGAACTAAACTGCTCTACAGCCACAATGCGCCACATTGCCTCGTCCAACACTGATCCATACACAGCAGTGTCTGGCGCGGCGGGCGCCCTGTACGGCCCACTGCACGGTGGTGCCAACGAGGCTGTGCTGCTAATGCTCCAGGCTATCGGCACCAAGGACAATGTCAAGCAGTTCATCGCCGATGTCAAGTCCAAGAAGAAGAAGCTCATGGGCTTTGGCCATCGTATCTACAAGAACTACGACCCTCGCGCCAAGATCATTCGAAGGGTGGCCTATGAAGTGTTTGACAGTCTTGGCAAGGAGCCACTGATTGAGGTGGCCACAGAGCTAGAGAAGCAGGCTCTCAACGATGAGTATTTTATCGCCAGGAAGCTCTATCCCAACGTGGACTTCTACTCTGGTCTAATCTACAAGGCCATGGGATTCCCAACAGATATGTAAGTTAACATAACCAGTCACATCATATCCCTCAATCAATAACTCACACACACAATCAACCATTTAGGTTCCCTGTGCTATTCACTATTCCAAGAGCAGTTGGATGGTTATCTCATTGGATCGAGCATTGTGAGGACCCAGAGACAAAGATTTATCGTCCACGCCAAGTGTACAAGGGCGAATGGTTCAGGAACTATGTGCCAATTGAAGGTCGTCCACCTGCCAAGGTCAAGTCACAAGAGTTCTACTCATCCTCCACAACCAAGAGGTATTCCAAGGTGACTGCCACCCAAATGTAATTAACCATATCCAACAATCCAACAATCCAACAGACACATCCATCATACCATTGCAACAAAGTTAAGTAAAAGGTACAACTTCATACCCCCTAACAGTTACCTCTCTCATTGAACTTACGGGGCTGAACCATACGCGTATCTCGCACGATACGATGAGTATTGTGCATCGGGACCTGATCAAGTCCTCCTCTTTTTTGCCCACCACCCACCAGGGGCGAACCTAAATTTGAATTGTTAACGAAAGTATCACGATGAAGGGAGGTGATGGGAGGTGTACCCTTCATTATGCAGGCCCAATTCAATCAAAGATCTTCCAAAGGTATAACCCCCAGCCCCATTCATGGACACGGACATGACCAACACCAACAGAGTACTCTATTCTATCTATCTACTCTTCAACGTGAATAACAAACAGTCCATTTGCGAACATCTTCATTATCATACAGATATATACTTAACACATAACACATACCAGAATTGTATTATAACAAACAGGAACAACAGACAGACATACAGAGACAAAGACAGGACACAGTCACAACACTTTAGTTTGTGTGTAATCTCACGGCCAACTCTCGATCGAGCTCAACTTCACTCACACACACTTACATCACATTCTGATTGATCAATCAAATAACTTATTTGAATGTGTGTGTGTATCACATGGATAATAATTATTTGTTTGTTTGTTATAATCACTTGATTGATTGTGGTCACATATGATAATAATCAATCAAATAACTCATGTTTCAAACCAACCAACATTGATTGCTCGTATATCTGAATGATGGACCACCAGGAACAACCCAATTACCTCACACATCCATCGCCCATCCGCCACTCGCATCCACCTTCCACTCCACACACACATCCATTAATACAAATCAATCATAAGTTTATTTATCTCTCAACTCTTTAAATACAAATATATATTATTATTATTATATACCCTACGACAACTATCCGGTCGGGTCAATTAGTATGTCTCACAAAATCACACACATCAACGACGCGAGTGTGTAAAGCACTCAGCCCATAATCCACCATCCATCTATCATCAATCCATCCATACACCCTTGACATCCATGACATGACATCCATCCATCCATTGTCCAGGGACAATAGACAGACAGTCAGTCTGTCAGCTGTCAATCAATAATCCATCTATAACAATGTTGTTAGACTCATCATCACCACGACCAATCAACACCAATATCCAGAAGTTCTCGACGATAATCATACCATACATCTCAACGAGTATTTTAATGATTGGGAGACAATGTTGATTGATTGTTTATGGTGTGTGTGTGTGATGATGAGTTGTTGTAATGATGTGAGTGAGGGATACAGGGGGGGTTGATCAATCAATCATCTTCATTAATTAACCACACTGTTTAAACAGTGGGTACCACCCCACCCACATACCCCCAACATATCGATCACCAACCAACAATGTCGTCCAATCGACGTATATATACGTGTGATCATGGTCTCATTGTCGTCCAAGAACAACTCGATGCTATTTATAAAGACACATGTACACACACTCATTCACACTGATTCACACTCATTCACAACCAATCATGATCTCTAATACATCAACAACAACAACATCAACAACAAACATCAACATCAACAACACCACTATGTGCGCAGTCTGAGCATCTTTAGCATTCCGCACTGCGCTCTCCTCTCTCACCTATTCTTGACAACTTCCCCTCCCCTCACACTCACTCATCCACTCAATCAATCAATCAATCAACTTCACCCACCCATGGCATGCCTGCCACAGCCAATCCCCAACTTAACTTATTTCAGCCATCCATCCATCAATCAATCCCACCCCTAGCTATAACCATCATCATCATCAACAATACCAATCACCTGACTGGTCAGGCAGGCAGTCAGGCAGACTGATAGCAGGTAGCCAACCAGCTAGACAGTCTAACTGAATCAAACATATCAACAGCAACAATAACAACAAATATATCTGTATTACAGATACATAATAATATCCATTCAATTAATCATACCAGCTGCATCAATCTCATCATTTTCATTCTCTTATCTTGGATCATTATCATTATCACAAATTCCCAAATCCAGCAATCATTCCATTCCATTCATCCATTCATTCATCCAGCCACGAGTTTGCAAAAACTCACGAGTTTCCAACTTCCAACAATCACGTGATCCACGACTAACACTCGACAACCATGGTCAAATCTCCAGTGCAAAGACGCACTTCATCAGGTGGATCAATTAGATTAAAGCGGCGCAATTCCAATAGCCGCCATAACCACAGCACACCAGTAGCCGCAGCCAGTCAACTCAATCGCAAGAGGCAGCGCGCCGCCACATCCATCCGCACAAGCGGCAAGAACATCAACAGCAACAACAGCAACAAGAATCATAATAATAAGAAGAAGAAACATACAGAGAAGTCCTATCGATTCACAAAGGACACGACTACAAGACGACGTCTCACACTGAGACAACTATTGGCAAAGTTGGGATTGTTCAACAGCAACAGGAGCGGCAGCAACAGTATTAACATGGCAGCAGCGGCGGCAGCAGCGGCGGCCACCGCACCCGAGTACAAAAGTGGATATCTCTACAAACTGGTCGGAGTTGGCATCTTCAAGTATCGCAGAAAGTACTGGTTCATCCTCACTCGCACTCATCTCCTCTATTACAGTTCACAAGAGAAGGTATGTATAATTGGCGCGACGTGGCGCGGTGTGGCAAGGCCTTGGTCCACGCGAGCACATACTCACACGTACGCCCCACACACAAGCAGAAGACGACACCAGTGGACTGCATTGCACTTTCATCGATTCGTGGCATTAGACTGATGCAGAAGGAGCGAGAGTCGATACAAACTACATATGGATTCATTGTGGAACATTCATTGCCAGGCTCATCACATATGTCTAGGTTGGTGCTGCAGACGGCACCAATTTCGACCCTGGCCGACTGGGTCGTCAAGCTGGACGGCCTCGCCAACACAGATTTTGGCTCATTCCTCAGTGGACCAGAGCGCAAGCTATTGCTCAAGATACTGTACAAGAATAACATCAAGGGCGGCGTGATCAAGTCGTCGCACGACGACGAGGAGTGGTCCTACTCGTCGATCGGCTCGCTATCCACACTGGAGGGCACGTACAACGGCCCGCAGATCGACTACCACTGGGACGGCGAGTGGCTGCGCAGCAGCGCCAACTCACAGATGTTTGGTGCCGGCCGCTTCAACGGCGTTTACCTGGCGTGGTACCTAGCCGGCGTCGATGGCAAGGACCCCACCGGCAGCACTGTCACCCAGGCGCCCGACATCACCTACTTCTGGGACGAGCGCGAGAAGGAGTACGTGTCCGATCGTAAAGAGCTTACCTTCAAATGGTCACGACACTTCTTGGCGTCCAAGTATGGCACAGGTGAGTGGATCGTCGAGGGCCACGTGCCACAGCCCGTCGTCATGTTCCTCCAGCTGATCAAGTACAGGCTGAAAGGTGGCGATGTTGCCAACAACCCGTTCGCAGAGGCCGAGCAGATGCTCAAGGAGACTGGTCCCAGCCTGCGGCTGTCCATCCCAATCAACGAAAAGGTGGCGGGCACTGTCAACCTCACGCCCTTCACCAAGGGCCAAGCACTGATCAACTACACCAATGTGCTGTTCACAGGACAGCCTGGCTCGACCAGCAATGGCTCGCCAAAGGATGCCTGCGAGGAGATCCTATTGCTGACGGGCACAAGCACAAGCTCAAGCCTCACCGATCAATCGTTGGCCGGCACTCCACAGCATCAGTCGCGACTGGATGGCGCATCAACACATCATCACAGCAGATACCTCAGCGTCAACATATCAAACACATCTCAGGTTGCTGCTGCATCGACATCGACCAACACCACACCAGAGACAATGGAGTCACCAATCATCGAGCATGTTCAAGTCACTCGCCCACCAGCCAACCAACAGCATCAGAAGCTTGAATGTCTGGACAGCGAGCGCGTCAGTGCGGACAGACAGATAGTCAAGGAGATCGAAGAGCTGGAGATGATTGAACGCGTCTTTGTCACAAAGGAACTCGTTGTAGTCGATCAGGCAGAGTTGGAGTTTGGAGCAAGACGCGAGGATGATGATCCCCAGCTACAAGAGTGCTTAGCCGACGACACCTCATCAAGCAGTGGCTACGACGATGACAGTGACCTCGATGACAACTCATCATCGTCCACAGAGCTTCGTGTCATTCATCGTCCTCAACAACATGTTGTTGCGGCAGCAGCCGTGCCCAAGCTGGACATGGACGTGTCTCCCCCACGCTCGCCAGTGCTCAACGTCTTGCAAGAGGCCTTGTCGCCACGTCTAACCTTCCACAGTGTTCCTCTGGGCTCTGTGAAAGGTCCAAGCGTGGACGAGCAGCGCGTACCAACCAACAGCAACAAGCAGATGGCCGATGGACAACAACGCAAGCCCAAGTCCACCGCCACATCCGCGCCACTCAGACAATCATTCTGTCTTACATGCAGCAAGGCAATCAATGGTCACATGATCGTTGCGCTTGGCAACAGCTTCCATCGCGACTGCTTCAAGTGCACCAAGTGTCACAAAGAGCTTGGCACCAAGACATTCTACCGCCAAGGACTGCTACAGGCAGGTTCCGAGGATGATGGCGCAGACCAACATCAACACCAACATCAACAAGATCAACAACAAGGCACGATGCCAAAGTACTTGTGCGAGTGCTGCTTCAACGAAGCGTGTCCAGTATGTCCAAAGTGCAATGCCAATGTCATGTACAGATGTGTGAATGCCTTGGGCAAGAAGTGGCACATCGATCACTTTTGCTGCACGGCATGCGCACAGCCACTGGTTGGCAATTGCTTCTTCGAGGTTGATGGCAAGCCCTATTGCCAATCCGACTATACCCTTCTATTTAAGAAACAATCATCATCAACATTATGTACAATTCCAGTTCCAGTTCCCGCTACAACAGCATGTTCCAGTTAACTTTTTGTCAATGTACCAATAAACATTGTCTTCCTCCCTCTCCATCAATACCTACATCTGTTGTGGATTTATTTATATATCTTACGATTGTTTGGTCGATTGATGTAAGTTGATCAACTTCCAGTCCCATCACGTGTCACTCATTCAATCAAACGATGAATCAATCATCCAAAGTTGTCAATGAAAGACCAATTGGAAGACTTTCATAAACCTCATCATCAAACAATTTCAGATAATAGTTTAGAACTAAACTAATCTTATTATTGTTATTCATTCACATCATCATCATATTGTTAACTGAAAGGGTGTGTGTGAGTGTGTGTGTTTGATTGATCAGTAACATTTTGTGTGGTGTGTTGACGATGATGGGGGTTGTGATGCTTGATCCATGTTGGGCTTCCAAATTAAACTATGATGGAAGTGACTGGATACAACTCCATATGCATTAGTTATTTAGATATATATCTATCTTAATATATATATAAGAAATACATATAATCAAACATATATCTTTAAGTATGTGAATGATGGATGAATGGAAGGAAGGAAGGAAGGAAGGAAGGACTGGAAGGCTGGAAGGTTAGGTGGAAGATCGCTGCAGGTGGAGAGAGTGAGTGTGAATGAATGAACCATGTCCATTGATTGACAACCTTATACTTTTTATGATGGAGTGTAGTTGAATCAATCAATCAATTATCAAACAATATACAATACTGGCGACTAAAATGGTACAATTGGGAGGATCAAAGGATAGCTGCACAGCATGCAACAAGACTGTGTACATGACAGAGAAGATTGTGGTCGAGGACAAGGAGGAGAAGAAGACATTCCATAAGCTGTGTCTAAAGTGCTCACACTGCAAGATCACTCTGTCACTGGGCAACTACGCTTCAATGAATGGCGTCATGTTCTGCAAGCCACACTTCAAACAGCTGTTTGCCACCAAGGGCAACTATGACGAGGGTTTCGGCCAGTCCAAACACACCACCCAGTGGGCGCCACAGGCCACGCCCAGCAGCTCGCAGGCCGGCTCCTTCATTAAGCTGGAGGAGTCCAACAAGCCACCCTCCGAGAAGAAGGAGACGCCATCGGCCATCTCGTCGCGCTTTGCCGGCAGCTCCGAGAAGTGCGCCATCTGCTCCAAGACTGTGTTCCTCACTGAGAAGATCGTGGTCGAGGAGAAGGAGGACAAGAAGGTGCTGCACAAGGGCTGCCTCAAGTGCACTCACTGCAACGTGACTCTCAACCTCAGCACCTACTCCTCGATGAACGGTGTCTTCTACTGCAAGCCACACGTCAAGCAGCTGTTTGCCGCCAAGGGCAACTTTGGTGAAGCGTTTGGCAACGCTCCACAGACTGACAAGTGGACGCCACAGGCTGTTACCGCACCCGCATCGTTCGTGCCCGTGGACCGCACGACCGAGAAGGAGAAGCCCGTAGTGTCGACATCGGACACGGCCAAGAAGTTCTCGGCCGCCAAGAACACAGACAAGTGCCAGCTGTGCCAGAAGACTGTGTACTTGACAGAGCGTGTCGTGCTCGAGGAGACAGACTCGCGTCGCATCTTCCACAAGGTGTGCATGAAGTGCTCGCACTGCAGCGTTGTGCTGAACCTCGGCACTCTGGCACAGTTGGACGGTGTTCTCTACTGCAAGCCACACTTTAAGCAACTCTTTGCGCTCAAGGGCAACCTGGACGAGGGCTTTGGCCGCGTCAAGCGCACTGACAACCCATTCCCATACCTCGAGAAGAAGGACGACTACGTGTCCTCGGCCGACCGTCTCCAGAGCGAGCACGACGCCGGTCATGTAGAGAGTGAGATGGAGAAGTTCAAGCGTCTCTCCGAGATGAAGTATGTTGAGGATGATGTCAAACCAGTGTTCAACCCATCTGCCACCTACAAGCATGAGGAGGAGGAGACACATGATCACAAGGATGATGACGTCGTGGAGAAGGAGCAAGAGGGACATGTCGAGACTGAGATGGAGAAGTACAAGCGTCTATCCGAGATGAAGTATGTCGATGATGATGTCAAGCCAGTATTCAATCCAAATGCAGTCTACAGACATGATGACGATGAGAAGATGGTCGATGATGAAGAAGTAATTCAACACAAGGAGGTGGAGCATCATCATCATCATGAGGAGGAGAAGGAGAGGGAGGTTCAACATCCAGAAGATGAGCATCTTGACAACAGCAATGACAATGACAGTGACAGTGACTAAATCAATGAATGAATGAGTATCATCATCATTCATTCAATCAATCATCCTAGTTAACATCATCCATCCATCCATCATAGAACTATTACAACTCAATATGTATAAGTAATAAAGTATATATATATAATTATGTATCATTATCTGTAACAACAACAAGTGAGTCAGTTAAACAAAGTCATTCAGTGAATGATCTCTTTTTGGTGCAAAGCATACTTTTTGAAACTTTTGAAAAAGTCGTTGTTTGGGACAAAGGTGACATCATGGTCTAAACCCATTCATTCTCGTTATTCATTCACTCACCCATACATACAAGTTTGAGATATATATATATATATTTATAACTATTATCTGTAATTATATATAATGTCTCATAATAATATAGAGGAGATGGAAGAGGAACCTATACTTGGACCTGCTCCAACATTGCCTGGACAGCATCAACATCAATCAATGGCAGACATTATTAAACAATACAATCATATCACATCATCATCACCTGTAGAAGAGAATGTTATTGAACAACAAGTACCAGAGGTCATCAATGATCATGATGATAATGATAATGATAATGATGAACACTTGGATGTAGACGTAGATTTGAAAGAAGTGGACATGATCAAACATGTAGAGAATGAAGAGAATGCACAACAACCATCAGAGTCACAGTCAGACGAGGACATGGACGATAATGAGGAAGATGAGGAAGATGAGGAAGAAGATAATGAGCTGGAGAGAAGCATGATCAGTGAATATTGGATTGATGAGGAGGAGATGCAAGCACCAGCTTGTGATTCAATACCAATTAGACAGTCATACAGCGCAAGGGACTTTCACAAGGATTATTATAATCATGATACAACTGGTTTGTTGACTATCGATGGTCAGCAAGTCGACAACACTGGCAACAACACTGGCAACACTACTACAACTACTGGCAACAACAATACACCACGTGTCACATTTGGCCGCACAAACAAGGTGTTCCACTTTGAGAAGCACCCTCTGGAGATGTCGTCCGAGTCCTACTTCCTCTTTCCCAACTACTCAACACGCGACGACGACGACGATGATGACGACGACGAGGTCTATGACGACAGTGATCCCACCGAGAGCGACGACGAAAGCGACGGGGAGCCCGATGGAAGCGACGACAGCTACGAACCCAGAGGTCCATTGGTATATTATAAGAGTCATTTCAAAGAGAGTGATGAGGAGGATCAGCATCTGCAACAGCAGCATCAGCATCATCATCACAACAGACAACCACATCAACATCATCATCGATCAAGAAATGAGGACGAGGACTATGACAGTGAGTTGGATCGCGATGACGATGGCGACCAAGACGATGACGACGACAACAACAGTGTGGTCAGCGTCGAGGAGCATGCTGACGTCGACTCGACCAAGGGTACATTCTTTAATGTCAAGCAGTACGATCCAAATGGAAGTGACAAGTCCACTGAATACCTCAAGCAGCTCAATGGCCATCACACCACAGCCATTCACCAAGCTCACCAAGGCGAGGAGGTTACACCAGCAGCGCCACAGCTTCGCGCATGGGCGAACCGACCCCAGGTCCAAAGGTATACACCAAGGTTCACCCAACCACGGCCTCAACTGCCACAGTCTGACAACTCTGACGAGGATGAAGACGAGGCGGAGGAGTCGGAGGAGGACGAGGTTGACGTCGATGATGAAGACGACCTGGTCGAGGAGTCCAAGCTCAATGAGATCAAGACAAAGCGATCGCTCATCGAGAAGGAGTTGCAAGAGTATCGCCAAAAGACCGATCACGAACGCAGGCGTCTCAGAGACTGCTTCGCGCAGGCCAAGCAGAACCTGAAGGAGAAGATTGAACAAGCATCATCACTGCTCACAAGCGACAACAACAGTAACAACAACGGCAACAACGCGAGCACCAACAACGTGAACAGCATCAGCAGTAACAAGACCACCTCGCACTCATCATCATCATCGGCACGTGACCTGGTCTACATTGAAAACCAGACAATGAAGGACGAGCTTGACGATGTGCTACTATCTCTCTCACAGCTACAACACAAGATCAATGACATGGAGCTATCTCTTGGCGACGATCCACGTGGTGCCATTCACAAGCAGTCCACAGACAGACAGCAGCGCAAGGAATTGATGCTACAAGATCGTGACCTAGAAGACATCACAAAGCAATTGTTGGACATGGCACTACAAGTGTCCAGCTCTGTATTATACAAACCAAAGCAGCAGCAACATCAGCCAGCTGGTACCACCACCACCTCGACGACAAGTGATGACAACACATCATCATCAAGGTAAGTTTGAATGGTGTTGATGATGGAAGACGGGGAATGGAATCATACTAACAATCATTCAATCAATCAATCACAGGGACATTGAGTTCTACAGGAACCAAGTTGAGGCCTTGGAGACCAGGCTAGGACAGTGGAAGCATCACAATGAAGTACTCCACATTGAGTTACTCGTAAGTGTTTGATTGATCTATTGATTTGGCGACACGGTAGCCTCAACTAACATCCTACCAATCAATCAGATGGACAAACAGAATAGCTCACAAGAGTTCTTGAACATGTCGAACAAGATACAAAAGGTTGAGGAGGAGCGCGATAGGATGTGTAGTCGTATCGATCAGTTGGTGGCCGAGCTCAGTGCAATGGAGGGCCGCGAGTCAGTCCTGTCCAGCATGGTCAACAACTTGATGGGCGACAAGGAGGCTCTCGCACAGACGATCTTGGACATGGACAAGGACCGCGCTGGAATCACAGAACGCTTCAATCATCTCATACTAGAGTTGCGCGTGACTGGCGAGAGCGCATGTATCCAGCTGCAAGAGATTATTGATGCCCTGACACTCGAGCGCGAGGAGCTCCAGAGCGAGATACGTGGAGCGCAAGAGCAGCGCGGCGACCTCATCACCAAGCTCGAGACCCTCAACGTCCGCCTCTTTGCATTGGAGCGCGACAACACCACTCTGGTCACCAAGTTCTACACTTCGGAACAATCAAACAGCGCACTCCTTCAGGAGACCCAGCGCACGGTCAAGCTGCTAGAGGCCAGCGAGCGCGAGTGCGCCCAACTTCAGAACCAGTTGCAGGTGGTCAACAAGCGATTGATGTGGGCCGAGTCCGAGGTCGACCGTCTCACCAAGGAGATGAACAGACTGCTGACGGCCAGCATCACGCCCAGCAGCAACAGCATCAGCACCAGTGGCAATGTCAACGTACCAAGCAGCAGCAGTGTGGTTGATGTGGAGCTGAGCCAGGGACCCAAGAACACCGAGAGGATACAGGTGGCGCTCGAGAGCATCAAGGAGAAGGTACTGCATCTCAAGCAGGCGTTGCTCAAGGAGAAGAAAGAGATACTTCAGCTTCGCAGTGGCCTGGCGCTAGTCGTCGAGAAGGGCAAGGTCAACTCCAGCCAGACACTGTCCTCGCTCAGGGACTACATTCTGCGCGAGGTGGAGACCACCAAGATTGGCATCGCCAACAAACTCACAGAGATTGAATCCACGAACAACAGCACCAACAGCGGCACCACAAAGGAGGACCTGGAGCTCACCAATCAGTATCTACTCAGTGAGGTGCAACATCAGAGGAACAAGCTGAACCTCATGCAGTCCAAGATCGTCAAGCTGGAGAGCCAGATCATCGGGATCACGTCGGAGAACAACTCGTTTGTTGGCGATCAGGTCAACCAATTGATGAAGATGGAGAGCAAGCTGAGGAAGATGGAGGTGGGCATCTCGCAACTGTCAGGGCCAAACTACTCACTGCCAATGCAATCGACCACCATCACAACCACGACCACCACTCAATACTTCACCGCGGACAACAACACCAATGTACTTTTATCTTCACCAATGGCCGACGAGGAGTTTGAACAAGAGGCCACCAACAAGCCCGAGCTGTCATCTGATGGCTGGACACACATTGGCAACTCGGCCCTCGCACCCCTGCCATCGTCCTCGTCCACCCCAACAACCACCCCCAGCGCTGTCTCTGACACCCCCACGCCGCTTCCTTTGGCAGAGGGCACCACCCCTGAGGTGTCCACACCAGCTGCCCAGACCGACATCAAACCGCGCACCAGCAGCAGCAACAACCGTACCAACAACAGCACCAGAAAGACTATTCAGAAGCTAGTCAAGGGCACGTTGGCACTCGGACTCAGCACATACAGCTCTTCACTATTCATTCAACTGCTCAATCACAACAGCGGCAGTCCTATTCATCTGTCTGATCTCTCGACACAGAGTTTAAGATATGGCGCAAGTGTCATGGCATTGACCGGCCTGATTCAATCATCATGGATTGCAATCAATCAAATATTCACTCCTTTGAACAACAACAAACACACCAACAACATTTCACATGCTCCTGCTGCTGGAGAGCTAACTGATGACACTCACACTCAGTCCACCACCACCAACGATGTTGCCAACAACCAACTGATGGACTACGATGATGATGAATCCTCCACTCATTCATACAGAGATATTGCACTGTCAGGTGCCATTGGAGCTGCAATGTGCAGTGCGGTACTCTATCATAGACTCAAACGACCCGATGTCGCTGTGGCTGGATCACTACTTGGATTCTCAATTGGAGGTATCACTCGACTACTCATGTCTGATACATTGTAATTGTTAACAAACATCAGGGTTGTTTGATCCATCAACAAATCGATCAATCAATCAAACCGTCCTATCCATCCCTCCATCCATCTATCCTCTCAACATCATTCATACCTTACTTTACTTTAATTAATTAAACACACTCAGGTCTTATTCCTCCGCTCTGTCTCTCTCCCTCTCACTCAAGCAGGTAATGATGTGATTAGATACCCTTGATACTGGATTGGCCAATCATCTTACTCAAAGTTCTCCCGATGGAGTGACTGTGATGCCGAACCGCGACACTACCCGATCAAGTCTTGACCATGCATTGAGTTCAGTCGTTTGTTGCTAACAACCTATGAGAGATCAATACCATCTATGGTCCACCACCAACGAGGTCTTCGAGTGAGAGCCTAACCCCAACCAATCAACTGATTTGTTTGAAAAATTGATCTAAAAAGTGTGTGTTTGTTTGTAGAGACTCAAAAACAAGTCAAAAATAAATGGGACCTCGGGCCTCAGGTTGGGCTCTGGCCCAACAATAGATAAACACTGACACCACATCAAACTTTCCAATCCGTTATCGCACCAGTCAGTACAAACAATCGATGAGTGAATCAAAGAGATTGATTGAGATACTAAAACACAGACACACATTCACTCAACTCATACATCTCATCGCAACTTTGCTCTCGCATCTCTACGCTGATCACAATACGTAGACAAAGCTCACTCATTCTCGTACCAACCAAACCAACAACAACAACCAACAATAACTTGTCCAAAGTCCATTGTACTCTCAAGCTATTGTCCACTCATTCATTGATTGATTGATCAACCTTACTTTGTTCGCAGTTACATACTTATACATATACATATATACCTTTATCCAAAGAGTTATTACTCATCATAAATATCAATAACATAATATATCAATAATGGTTGGAAAGTCAAAGAGTATGTCTTGTCCTCAAAGTCTGGTCCATCAACCCATACTCATACTAACTCAAATCAAACAGCCCCAGCTCGTGAGGTTAGCCCTCTGATGAAGAAGTTGATGGAGCCACAGGATGTCGTGGTGTCAAGATATAGGTCTCAGGATGGCGTGCCTCGCCCAGCTGAGTTTAAGGAGGCATTGCAAAGAGGCTTCTTCCTGATAAAGTTCCCAAGGACATTTGGTGGAATGGAGATTGGAGTGTCGTTGGTGAAGGCTTCCTCCAAGGACAAGTGTACATTCGAGTGGAATCAAGACACTGTCAAAGTTCAAGGCAAGGTTGAGTTCCAATCCGTGCCATGTATATTCAAAGGTTCATTCAGTGTCGAGACGTTTGAAGGTACAGGTGGTCTGTCATTTGACTAGACATCAAGTCGTTGGCGCGTAGACTTGGATATCATGGTCATCATGCCATGATCGATCCATCATAWTACATATTCATATACAATCACAAACATACACATATACAATCACAGCAGCATCATCAGGCAGCATTAACCATCACACGCACACACTCACCCATCAATCATCGGCCAACCCTCACATCATTGAGGACCTACTTGTACATCAGCAATCCAGCAACAATGTTATTTATTGGACATATTGAATCGACACCGCCTCACCTCCCTCCCTCCCTCCCTCCTTCCCTCCATCCATCCACTCCCTCAGTTTTTCTCGTCTTCCTTCACAACCAACTCCATCGCCAAAGAGGCTGTCTGGATGTATCGAATGACATGACACGCCCTCTTTTAAACAGTGCATGCACTTCACTTGTAGAAGTATGCCCCGGTCTAACGTAAGACCTGACCTGTCCTCCATCCAACCCTACGTATATAATTGGATGTTATATATATATAGCATGGCAGGCCCGATCGGAACATGACCTAGTAGCAGTAGCAGCACTATACCTCTCTTCCTTCCTTCCTTCCTTCCTTCTTTTCAAACCTAGCCAACCTCATTCTTATTGAGGAAGAGCAACACAACTAAGTCTAGTGGACCAGCGATGTGTATCGTCTTGGTCAGTGGACCTTGTAATAAACAGTTCTTATAACAAGTATACGCTTTTTGATCAACATCTGATCACGTGACCGACACATCATTTTGATGAAATCAATCAAGTTTGGTCCGAGTGTTACAGATATTAATACAAATACAAAGACAATAATGAGGACATTGGCGATTGTTACAGGTGCTTCAAGAGGCTTTGGCGCAAACATATGTAAGGAGTTGGCAAACAAGATTGAGCAAGTTGACTTCTTGTTGTACGCTAGATCTCAGAGTGGTCTAGAGTCGACACAAGCCATCATCAAGCAGATCAAACCATCATCCGATGTCAAGCTGTTTGCAACAGACTTTGCTCGAATCACCGAGTTGGAGACTGTTTGGAGGAGTTCACTTGATGCTGTAAGTTGATGATGTTAGTGATGTATGAAAGTGCACTAACATCATTCATTCATTCATCCAATGACCTTAAGGTTGAGGTGTCCAAATATGACAGAGTATGGTTGTTCAACAACCATGGTTCACTTGGAGGACTTGTCAGAGTTGAGGAGTATGTGTTTGATTGAGTTAATCAAAGTTGGAGACAAGCTTACTAAACATTGTTGTCCAACCTTTACAGTATCAAGGACTTCAAACAAGTTGAGACTGATGTTACGATGAATGTTACATCCACCATCTTGACATCATCACTCTTCTTGGCCAAGTTCAAACCAACTGGACAACAAGTTGCAATCGTCAATATCTCATCACTGGCCGCTATCCAAGGCTTTGAGTTCTGGGCTCTTTACTGCACTGGAAAGTCTGCGTAAGTGTCTATCACTCTTGCAACACTTGGTTCATTCACTAACTTACCTCAACTATGTAATTCCTTTCCAGCCGTGAGATGTTGATGAAGACTATCGCAGAAGAATGTGTAAGTTGATTGAATTGGATTGGATGTCCAACTTGGAATAATAATCATTGATTGACTGACACACAATCACAACAAAACTATATATATAGAAGGATACAAAGGTAAAGACATTGAACTGGGCACCAGGTATCTTGGACACGGATATGCAGAAGGAGGTCAGAGAAAAGACACCAGATCCCAACACCAGACAATACTTTATTGACTTGAAGGAGAACAACAAGTTGGTGGACCAATGCTTTTCTGCTGGAAAGATGATCGATACCCTTGTCGCCAACACATTCAGCTCAGGTGACCACATTGATATTTATGATATCATGAACAAACAATAATCATCCTCCCATTTATTATTTGGATAAATTAAATTATTGTTTTTATTATTTTTTAAATTTTTGTTTAAAGCCGACCTGGAAGAGAGACGCATTGTTCTGTTTATTTATCCCGAGGGATAACTATACAATTGTTTTGGTTGTTTGGACACTGTTCTGGTAGAGTCCACTGGCCTTTGTGTCGTCGGCTGGAGGTATGAGCATTGGTTTGGATTGTTGCCATCGCGTGCTCGTGCGATTATTTTTAAAAGTAGTTTATGAATAAATACTGAAATTTACACGTTTCGAAAACATCAAGTCCACTTGCCCGAGTGGTTTAAGGGGCTAGTTTTAGGCACTAGTGTAGCAATACGCGTGAGTTCGAACCTCACAGTGGACAAAATCTTTTGTTGTAAAATAAAAATAAAAAAAGAAAAGATCTTGAAAACTCCTTGAAAAAAATTGTTTTATATTTATAATAATTATTTAATTGAAATTAGTTAAGATTTTAAATTAATTAAATTTATTAAAATTAATTGCGATTGATTTAACAGAATATCTATTGTTATAATCTTTATCCTTGAATTACTATCAATCACAAGGATAACCATCTTTAGAATAATAAACCAGAACAGTGTCCAAACAGCCAAAACAATCGAATAGTTATCATCCGGGATAAATAAAAAGAACACTATGGATTCATTTTTAGGTACAAAACCAGAGAAAAATGTTTTTCCACCTAACTTGCTCGATTAGCTCAGTCGGTAGAGCACGGTGCTAATAACGCCGCGGTCGCAGGTTCGATCCCTGCATCGAGCAAATCCTTTTTAAAAATTCCAATTTCCAATTTTTTTTTTAATCTTTCCCCCCCTGGACGGCGATGCTCCTTTACTGACGAGCCAAATTGGCAATTTACTGGTCCCTTAATGCTCCAATAAATGATACCCAATATTCAAACTCAAAAAATAACTAATTTAGATGTAAATTATTTTTTCACGAGCCAGGCAGATTATATATTAATGTATGTATGGTTTATTTCGGATCTTCCAAATGATGTGTGTGAGTGAGCTGCGCGAGCGAGTGATCAAAAAGCTGCCGCCAGACAGCCTCCAATCTAGTTTACCTGGACTACCACCTTCTCTGGGCGGGCGGGTGGGTCCTTATATATAATCTGCCTGGCTCGGAAAAAATAATTTACATCTAAATTAGTTATTTTCACTTCGACCAGGCTGATTATATATAATGTAACTATTCGAACAACGAGTTGACTTGAGAACATTGCGCCGAGCCCTCCAACTTGAGGGCGTAGTACTTCTCCATTGTTGTCGCTGACTTGTGTCTGCTCAGAGCCTTGACGTCTTGAAATGATGCTCCAGACGCCAATGCCTTT